CGACTTCCCTCTATAGAGTATTCTTTATCCGGACGGGGACCTGGTGACGCCAGAAGTTTTCTTACTCTTTTTTTTCGATAACGCCGTCTCCGTCGTTGTCGTCGCTACCGTCGTCGTCGACATATATTCAAACAGAAAGCGTGTGGCTCATGTGGTTAGTTGTAACGGGTCCTCTGCCTTCATCAGAGTTTTTAACTCAATCACAGTTTTTATTTCGGATTTGTGTTTGTGTTGTGATTGTGATGTAATGTCCAAAAAGATCCCATTGATTTGCACTCATATTATCCTCCCGGAAATCGTAATGAGCCAACACAACGTAGATCATTCCCAAAACGGGAAATATCTGAATTCGCCGGAAATCACTTGTTTTCCTTATCCATGTGTTTTTGATAATTGTACTGGCCAAGAAGATTCAAATCGAAATCTCATCGAAGATCGTACCCCGTCTCCATGCGATTCTCTAAATACATCCCCAAGATTAAATAGAAGATCTTTAAGTCCTTTCGGAAGAAGTATATCACCTATAAATTATTTGAACAGAAGGACATCGAGTGCGTCTCCGAGTGGTTACGAACAATATTCTAAAAGTCTTTTGGAAGTGCCGACGATTTTGGATTACGGGGACGCTTCCAGCGACGATCTCAGTTCCGAATGGGATTCTGATGCAAACGAGTTACACCAAAATAAGAATTCAAAGGTCAGAGAATTACTATTTTTGGTTTTTATGGTTTTTGCTTTATTTCTTCATTTCGGTGATAATATAAAAATAACCGTAATAAGTGACATTGACCTCGGGTGAAGACTTAAGACTTTGACCTTAATATTACATAAAAATTAAAATCTTAACTGTCAATAAAATGTTTATTAAACCTTGATATAAAATTGTAAAATTGGTCGTGTGGAGTTTGCAATTATATCTATTCCCATCTATGATTGATCGATCAATCATTTGATCAAAAATTCCGATCTCGCACAAACTTATTATTCTTATTAAGTACTAATCAAAAAAATTCATTACACGTCCTTTCTTCAACGTGTTCCGTTTTGCTAATTAGTTATTACAAGAACATAATTTTTATTTGTTATAACTTACGTAAGTTATAACAATTTTTTATTGAAGAGGTGTTAATAACTTTTAATTCCTTGTGGTTTGTTTTTAATAAAACCAGTTAAGAGTATGCAAATTTTTACCTTTGAAGAATGTTTAATGGAAATTAAACGATGAGGTTTTTGTGGGATGTTTGTTGTGGGAAGGTTGTAAGAAGAAGGTTAAATCGAGAATAACATATAATAAATCGGCCCCAAAATCATTTCAAATCAATCATTATTAGAAATTCAAGATTTATGTAAACAAAAATGGATAATAACGCGTGTGCCTATAATCCTCGATTAAATATTTGATACTTATGTTTACCTGCGGTTGTAATTAATGCTGAGCTATTACTTACTTCTTATGCAACATCCATAATCTTGAAAAAAAAAAATAACTAATATTTTATCTTTCCTCATGGAAATAAACGAAGCATTAAAATCTACTTATTCTCAAAAAATGTAGGTGTTAAATCATAAAAAAACTCGTGGGTTGATGTAGACGTGATGGTTCATTTTTCAATCAAAAAAGAATGAATCATTCTCGAGACATTTTTAAAAACCGCGACAGAATTTACGATGCCTGTCTTATTGTTTATTGAAATTTGAATCGAAATACAATTAGTAACTTAGTATGGAAACGCGTGGGTGTGTATCTTATTCGTTCGGGATTTAAATAATTTTAATCATCGCGTAAAATACAAATATACGCGAATTGGCATTGAATCCAGAAATATATTGGCTCAATAACGACATCGAAACGAGGCGTACATAATCGAATAACTACGCCGTTTATTATTGTTGTTTATAAATTCGTTTTTAAAGGCTTCGATTTCGTAAATTGACCTTCGCTAAAAAATTTGCAATAAATCCCAAAAAAAATGTTCAAGAATTAAAAAAAATTGATTAAATTAAAAAGAAAGATGAAGAAACAAAGGATTTCGTTTTGATGTAAAATGTTTTTTAAACCACATTGAGGACACATGAAAAGTGGCTCTTTTTTGCTTCTCTTACGTCAGGGAGTGGAGAGAAGTTGTTCAACACCTTCTATGGCACCCGATTTACCAAGCAAATATTTGCCATCGATCGAGAATGAGCGCACGTCCTGACGTCTAAGCGCCTTTTTAATAAACCGCTTGTGTAAGATTACGAGGTGAAAATCAAAGATGTAAAAAATACGTGATCACCATCGTTAATAATATATTAAAAGAAAAAATCAACAAAAGTTGTCGAAGAAAAAAGTTGTTGAAAGTTTATTTTTTAGAATTAAGTAACGAATTAGGTAATAAATCATGTTAAAGATCATATTTTTTAAGAAAATTTTCTATCAACAAAATAATTAAATGTTGCGAAAAATTACTCGTTGCACTTTCTAATTGACACCCGTAGATTGAGATTCTCATTGTAATTGACAACTTGATGTGATAATATCCTTTGTTGTATCTGGTATTGATAGTTTTTTAATTCGCACATTTTGTCAATCAGAATATATGATACTTAGATAGTAGTGACACGTGTCTTGTAGTTTCCTTTAGATTGCTTTTTGAGCTTTTCTTTTAAGAATACAACTTTCAGTCAAAGTTCTCGTAAACAAGTTTTCGTAAGAATTATTTGCACGAGATGATCCTTAGAATCTTCATCATAATTGAGATCATATCCAAAGAACTCCACTCCACTCCCAATTAATTAAAATTTGAAACAAGATTGTTGCTTTTGAAGCTGGTTACTTGATAAACTGTGTACTAATTATCTAAAACTAAACTCTTTCTGAGCTAAAACTTGCCAACTATTCCTGACATTATTTTTCATATACAAGTATATCTCAATTGTTTGGCCAAACTTCACCCACGTGATGTATGAAACAAAACCGTAAAAACGTTTCTATTACACCACCATAGTCCTTCTGCCCGGGGTAATCTTTGTTTGAATTTTACTTCTTCTTAGTTTGGTTATAAATTACCTAGAAGATATAGCGAGGTTTTTAGTCTTTTAAGGTTTCAATAGGCAAGTTGATGGTAGAATTATGGGATAAAGATTGTAGACGCAGATGGATTGGAGGGATTTCGAATATGATGGTCTTGTAGATATGTGCAGCGCATTTTGTTGCTATGCATTTTGCTGCTTCTCACGATTTATAGCTTTCATCTTTACCTTGATATGCACGGTCGGAAAACTTTAACCATCTGTCAATCGAAATTCGAAAGTTATGATGGGAGAAGGAACGAAGAATTGGGTTTAATTTGAATTCGCCATTTCTACAGCCAGCTCTCTGTAATTTGAATCAGCGCCTGCAACTTTTGCACTGCTTATCCGATGTTTTTGTAGAGTATCGGGAAGAGGGGAGACCCTTGGGGAAGGCCTTAATACAAGAAGAACTATACCAAATTCTTTTAAACGCATCACCCACTCCAATGATTAATGAGGTTCTTCTAGAAGTGGCGCACCTTGTTGTGGTAATAACAAGCATTTTATATTCAGAGTGAATCAAGTATTCTTTTCTTAAGAATTTTATGTCTTCCTCGAAGGTAGATGATATGTGGTTATGGAAAATATCGTTGAAAAGTGATAACGTCATTGTATTTCTGGGTTGTACTTATTTACATAAATTGATTTCTCATCAAGCTTAAACAACGTCATGATTGAGCATGGTTATCTTTAAACTTCCTTGACATCATTTTTGTATGACAACTTCTTCAAGTCTCCGCGTCATCAAAGTTTCTTTACCGCAATAACCACTTTCCGAGTTTCTGTGTCTAAAATTGTCTACAGGCAAAATACTCATTGTAAAGTTGATGTAAAGGTGTGTCTAAACATAGTGCGGGGCGATTACAAGACATAATTCGCGCGCAATTTTGGACATAAATTTTGGAAAAAATTCGTATTTGACGATGGTTCTTTTGGCAAACTTATTCTTGTTGGAGTTATTCATCGTCTAATACGTCATATTCGAATGGTTCATTGTCTTCTTTATCCTAAGTCTCCTTTAGTTTCCTAGTAAGGACATTCGCATTTGATTAGATGTTTCTAAACTATCGAGATTTTTCCATTATTTTTATTTTTCACGTTTCATAAAGCATGTCTAATATTTAAATGTTTACGTTATAAAATTATTTTCGCCTCGATTTGTTTGTTTTTATTTTTCTTTAAATATCAAGACAACATATTGCCCTATTTTAAACCTCTCTCGAGATTTATATCTATAAACTTCAAAAGAAAACAGATGTTTTTAATTTTAACATTTTTTTTTAATAAATTAATGCATCTTTAAAAATTCCTTGGCCCAAAAAGAAAATGAAAATACAAAGAAAATATTTCCGCTTACCTTAAAACCTGTTTCGGTCATCAAATTTTTAAACAATAGCTTTGACGCAACTTGTAAAGTTTCTTTATCAACCTTGTCGCGGTTTTAATTGCATATCGAAACGGAAACTTGGAAATTTTTAAATCAATTCGGTCGACATTTAGATTGACCAACTTTCGCTGTTGTGGTCTCTGATAACAAAACTGACGCAAAAGCGAAACCACAGAATTCTATTGAATTCACTACGACTTTGTAGTTTTTACTAGAAAAAAAATACGGCTTGTTTATTTTTTTATGGCGAAAATGTCAAGATTTTGAACCAACACCTGACGAAGCATGAAATGCTAGACATTTCAAACATTCCTTTTTAAATTTTTTTAAATTATTTCGCAATTACCAATGATGATGTTAATTTTAATAAATTATAATTGATTAAAGTTTTTTTTGTTCGTAATCTTTTTAATTAACATTTCCCCCGGAAATTTCTCAGATTAATTCTTTACGTCAAAAGATTAGGTATTAATTTAATAAATAAACGAATTCCGAATCGAAATGAATCAGGTTATAAACTTAAACACCAATTAATAATTTTTAATTTTTCTTTTTGCAGTCTTCAGGCTGGAGAAAATTAAGAAACATCGTTCAATGGACGCCCTTTATACAAACTTACAAGAAACAAAGGTATCCTTGGGTACAACTTGCTGGTCATCAAGGAAATTTTAAAGCTGGCCCAGATCAAGGAACGATATTAAAAAAGTTATGCACGAAAGAAGAAAAATGTTTCAATGTAATAAAACAAAAATTTTTGATTTATTAATTTCTAATTTTATTTTCTTATTAATTTTCTAGGTTTTAATGAAAGATGTGTTACGACCCTACGTCCCAGAATTTCGTGGCTTAGTAGCCAGCGATGACGGAGAATGTTCCTACATTCAACTACAAGATTTATTAAGCGATTTCGTCTCACCATGCGTTATGGACTGCAAGATAGGCGTACGAACTTATTTGGAGGAGGAATTAGCGAAAGCTAAGGAAAAACCGAAATTAAGAAAAGATATGTATGAAAAAATGTGCCAAATCGATAAAAACGCCCCAACTGAAGAAGAACATCGACTTAAAGGTGTTACGAAACCTAGATATATGGTTTGGAGGGAAACAATTTCCTCTACGGCAACGTTAGGATTTAGAATAGAAGGTTTAAGGAGAGCCGATGGGGCATCTAGTAAAGATTTTAAAACGACAAAAACTAAGGAACAAATTATTAAAGCTTTTAGGAATTTTACTGATGGCTTTCCCCATGCAATTGTAAGTATTTCAATTTTAATAAGAATTAACAATTTGTGATTTAAGATTAGGTTTTAAACTGTCAAAATTGAAACTTACCGATAACTTCACGTTGATTCCTTGAAACAACTTCACAGCCATTTTTTAACCTGTCAAAAGAATACAAATTATATTATTTTTTTTAAATTTTTATTTACTTTAACGTTAGGTTTGTGCAAATATTCGTTTTTGTAACAATTTGATTGCACATTTTGATTAAAATTATATACTCTAACTTACCGATAACTTCACATTGATTCTTTGAAACAACTTCACAGCCATTTTTTAACCTGTCAAAAAAAATTACAAATTATATTATTTTTTTTAATTGGTGCAAATATAGTAAAAGTAATTATGATTACACTTACTATCACATTTCCGTATTTGTAACAATTTGGATGCACATTTTGTTTAAAATTAAAACTGTTTTAACCGACGCTTCAAACAAGTAAAAACTGACAACTACTAAGTATTATTATTGTTATCTAACTTACCGACTTACCGATTAGAGGTCATCAAATTTATCGCTTTAAATTTTTTACTTTATTTTAATGAAACGAAATTAATAATAACTTTAATTAATTTATGTTGGACTTTATTTAACTGAGTTAATTAAACAAAAAAAAAGTGGGGCCCCTAAGTCACATTGGAACTGTCAATTACTAAGTTATGCAACCGGTGATGCTTTAACCTATAAATTTTTTTTAAACTTCAAATTATTTTATTTATATTTATTGATAAAATTAGGTCTAATTAATAAATTTTTTTTGTTACAGCCTAAATACATTCAAAGATTAAAAGCGATTAAAGCAACTTTGGAATCATCACCTTTTTTCGCAGAACACGAGGTAATTAATTAATTAATCTTAAATTGAATATATTAATAAAAATTAATTTCATTTTTAGGTTATCGGAAGTTCATTACTATTTGTACATGATCGTACAAATGCAAATATTTGGTTAATAGATTTCGCCAAAACCGTAACATTACCAGAAAACATAGAAATCACGCACAATTCTAAATGGGTTGTTGGAAATCACGAGGATGGTTATTTAGTGGGTGTGAACAATTTGATATCAATTTTTATGACGATGTTGGAACAACAACCAGTTCCTGTAACTCCACCTCCATTGGAATCTGATTTAAATTTATTGGATTCCGAATCGAATCTTTTAGAACCAAATGCGAATATTTTAGAATCAAATTCGAATATTCTTGAACCCGATTTAGAGGTGACATAAAATGTTGTTTCATTTTATTCTCGGGTGGAAATCTTAAGACTTTTGTACTCGTATTTGTGACTGATTAATTTAAAAGAGATTTTTTTGGAAAGAAATGTGCCTTAATAATAATAAATAAAAAGATTTAAAAAGAAATAAGGTTCTGTGGAGCGGAACGAAAATATTTTTTCAAAATATTTATAATTTAAAAATTAAATGTTACTTTTATTTTACTATTAGTTTTTGCTGAAAAATGCTGTGTACATATTCGACTATTAATGATTAATTATTTATTGCATTTAATTTATCTTCATTTTTATCGTTTTTTTGTTTTCATTTTATTAAAAAAAAATGTGGTTCGTCTTAATTAGTATATTCTTAGAGAAGAATACAAATTCATCTGTCTTATAATAAGATATTGATGTAACTTAATCATATAAATATAAAGCACTGTCTGTACTAAAAAGTGTTAATTTATTTCTTACACTACAATACAAAAAAGTACAATGAAAAACTTCATTTTTCAATCATATGTATAACATACAAAAATAATCTAAGATCTGGCTATAAATTTTTCTAATTAATCCTTTAAAAAAACACTATTAGAAATTGTAGGAAAAGATATTTTAGGTTCTTAATAAATAAGTGTAATAAAGGATTGATTTTTTCTTAAAAAATTCTTTTTCGAGACGTTTTATTGACGTCACGTCTCTATTTTCCTCACAAAACTATTAGCAACTCGTTTTATTTTCGATTCTGAGTAACGCGTTGCTAATTAATGTAAATACTTTCTACTAATAATCAAATTAATATCACATTTTAAAAAGTCCCCTTCTTCACATTTTCACAACCTTTCACTATAAGAATCGTCGCGTTTTCGAACTTGTCTTTGAACCGGCCCCGTTGACGATTGATTTAAATTTAAAACTGGTCTCAACGAGTATCTTCTATTACTACCTGGAACTCTAATAGATCTTCTTCCTGGAACATCTCTATCTGTAGTAGCAAAGGGTGTGTATGGTGGTGGAGGTGAAAGATGATGTGAATGTGACGAAGGAACTTCTAATGTGTTTGGATTTAAATTAACTCTTTTAGGTGGTGAAGGTTCTAAGAAATTTGAAGGCCGCAACGAAAATCTTCTTCCAGAAGCTGGGTTATGACTTGGTGGCATTAAAGAACCTTTCCTACAACTATTTAAAATTGCCCTCCTAGTCATTGGTGATAAATCAGGTGGAGTTAACGATGCTGTACCAAGTTTTCTGTTAGGTACAGGTTTAGGTTCTTCATCTTCTTCGCCATCAATCGATATATTTGCTAACATTCTTAAGAAATCAGCTATAGAAGTCTCTTCTAAGACACTATCAGAAGAAGGTTGATGTAAAATTGAAGGTCTTCCATGACGCGTATTATTCACATATTTATTAATAGCTTCGCTGTTTGTGCGAGGTATCGGCACTTTCGCACTTTCTTGTTTTTCAACATCAACGTCTTTATTATCCTTGTTTGATGTTCCTTTAATGGTATTTTTAATTTTTGAGAAGATATTGGGGGGTTGAATTGGAAGAGTTCTACTTCTTGCTTTTCCATATTGAAGTCCTTCCCGGATTTCTTGTAAATTAACGAAAGATGGTTTTCCATACCAAGTCAAATCATTTTGGTACTTATTTTCAGGCAACTTTTGAGGAAATTTAACTTCACTACACGCTCTTTTACGCACAAACGGTATATTTAACCTCGATTCTTGATTTAATGATCTTATTGTATTAACATTATCATCAATTTCTTCATTATCAATACTTCCCAATGCATTTGCAACCCTTAACAATAAATTACTTTGTTCGGATAATTTCCTTGGGAACGTTCGTTCCATATCAATTTGAGTTAAATCACTATCAGAAGACATTCTAATAAGGGGTGAAACAAAAACACAAGCTGAACAAGCTCGCCTCCTATTCATCGCTGGTACAACTAGTTTATTATCATCGTAAATTCTTAAATCCGGACAACTTTGACTTCTCTCGATTTTATGGGGTGTATAAACAAATTCGTGTTTATAAACCCGTTTTACTTTAAGTAAAAGGAATTCGTGTACTAAAGATCTTAATTCCGATCGGATTTTATGAGGTGTTTTTTTGATGTTCATCGCTAATGCATGTTCGATCGCTCGAATTTTTTTACTTCGTAAACCTCTTGAAATAAATCCTAGAACCATTAGGCCGTATCCTAATCCAATTATTATCCAAACTAAGAGGAATATTTTGTATGCTAACCACATTACAGTGCCTTGTCCAGGTTTATTAACTCCTGAAATAAAAGTTATAAACATCAAAATAAAAATTTGTAAAAGGAAAGTACTTTTTAGTACTTAAAGTATTATCTAGTATTTGTTTAAGAAAAGTTTATCAGATTATTTTTAAATTTGACATTTAAACGTCATTTAAATGTCAAATTGACATAAAAAATTAAGGTTATGTTGATGTAAAACGTCAGTCGATTTATAAAATATTTAAAAATATGAATCAATTACTGTTTTAATGAGAGATAATAAAATAAATGGAATTAAATAACTTGAGAGATTACGTTATAATTATGATTGTAATTTCAATTTTTGTTGTTGAGAATGGCGATAAAAACGAGTGTCTCCTGACAATCTTTTTAAAGTATTCTATTTGGATTTGGCTTCTACACGTTTCTTGTAATCTCAAATTAAATTATAATTAACAATTAATAAAAAGTACACCACAAATAATATTGTTCAATTGACTTGTTTATTGAAGTGTTTTGTAAATACTTCTGGCGCCATTTAATTTCAATATTTTAAAATCATTCGTCGAAATCGATTACAAAATTATTGACTTTGTTTATAAGGTTTAAGCTATTCTATTTTAAGGTATACCATAGAAAATAGATGTCTCAATAAGATTTTTTATTAACTTTGTTAGTTTTTTTACTTGATCTGTGAAAAAATTTTTCAAATACATGAAATTAAAGCTAAAAGATCATATTTTCATATAATTGTGATGAACTTGACAACAGAATTGTACAAAAAAATGTTTTGAAAGAAATTGTTGAGTTACTTTTTGTCCTGTCAAAAAAGAGAATGTTAAAAAAATTCTGCAAACTTTATTTTGAGGAGTAGAGAGATGATTTACAGATAAAATTAAAGCTAAAAGATAATTTTTTCATATAATTTTAACGAATTAAGAATTTAATAATAGAATTTTACAGAACAAATTTGGAGAGAATTCGATTTGCAACAAGAGATGTATAAAACATATTTTTATCGAAATCAAAGAAATAATGCAAATAGAAACGACAAATTAATGTTATAAAGTATTTCCTTATTCGTAAATCGAAACATTATATTTTTAATTCACCAAATTACATGACAGCTTGAGTACACGAAGACTAATCTTGATAAAATCAAATTTCAAGAATCAATTGAGATTTCAAGTTGAAAAAAAACATTTTAGCCGATTTAATCTAGTTATAACACACCAAAAATGATTTCTTCGAAATTATAATATGAGATAATGATGTCACGATTTTTGAAATAAAACTATTTATAGCAATTTAGGTTAGGTTGGTAAACATAAAATTTAAATCATCATATCTCAAAAGCCGAATGAGATATTGTCATGAAATAAAAAGCATTTTAAAGCAAATTTAGTTGATATTTAGTGTGACGAAAATTATTTCTTTATTCCTATAAATCTAAACGTTATGATTTTTTTCATTCATGTCTTAACTTATAACGAATAAATATTAAAAAAATCATATCTCAAGAATTAAATGAGATATCAAGTTGAAATAAAAAGCATTTTAAAGCAGATTTAATCTAGTTATAATATACCAAAAATGATTTCTTCGAAATTATAAATAATGATGTTACGAGTTTTTAAATGAAACTGTGTATAGCAATTTAGGCTAGGTTGATAAACATAAAGTTTAAAACATCATATCTCAAAAGCCGAATGAGATATTGTTATGAAATAAAAAGCATTTTAAAGCAAATTTAATTAATATTTAGTTGACGAAAATTATTTCTTTATTCCTATAAATCTGGACGTTATGATTTTTTTAATTCATGTCTTAACTTGATAACGATTAAATATTAAAAAAATTGTATCTCAAGAAGTAATTGAGATATCAACTTGAAATAAAAAGCGTTTTAAAGCAAATTTAATCTAGTTATAACACACCAAACATGATTTCTTCGAAATTATAAATGATAATGTCACGATTTTTTAAATAAAACGATTATAGCAGTTTAGGTTAGGTTGATAAACATAAAATTTAAATCATCATATCTCAAATGCCGAATGAGATATTGTTATGAAATAAAACGCATTTTAAAGCAAATTTAATTAATATTTAGTGTGTTGAAAATTATTTCTTTATTTCTATAAATTTGGACGTTATGATTTTTTTAATTCATGTCTTTACTTTATAACGATTAAATATTAAAAAAATCATATCTCAAGAAGTAAATGAGTTATCAAGTTGAAATAAAAAGCATTTTAAAGCAGATTTAATCTAGCTATAACACACTAAAAATGATTTCTTCGAAATTATAAATAATCATGTTACGATTTTTTAAATAAAACGATTATAGCAGTTTAGGTTAGGTTGATAAACATAAAATTTAAATCATCATATCTCAAATGCCGAATGAGATATTGTTATGAAATAAAACGCATTTTAAAGCAAATTTAATTAGCATTTAGTCTGTTGAAAATTATTTCTTTATTCCTATAAATCTGAACGTTATGATTTTTTGAATTCATATCTTATGACAGCTTAGCTTTATAACGATTAAATTTAAAAAAATCATATCTCAAGAAGTAATTGAGATATCAAGTTGAAATAAAAACCATTTTAAAGTAGATTTAATCTAGTTTTAACACACCAAAAATAATTTCTTCCTTTATATGATTGATTTTGTTATCCTCATTTAATACAGTACTGAACCAATTTCGAGCGTTAGCTCATAAATTAACATTAAAAAATATTTTTTTCTTACCTGCAACAATATCTCCAAACCCAATGGTTGTTATTGTAACGAAACAATAATAAACGGCAACATCATAATCCCATTCTTCAAAGGCCATGATAATAAAAGCCGGAAGGAATATGAAAAAGGTAAAACCGGGTACTAAATAAAGTACTATTTGACTGATTAAACCTAAGCGGGTTGTATCGTATTCCATTTTCGCAGTTTTCCATCGTCTGTATAATTTAACAAACTGAAATAAACCGAATATATTAAAAAAGAAAAAATTGTTTTATTCTTATGAGTCAAGTACAAATTTAATGTAAACTCGACCTATAAGAAGTAACAAGGACTTTTCTGTATATGAATGATGCAAATTAGTTCTTAGCAAAAGTAATTTTTGCGATATCTCAAACAATGCTCGTTTTATAAAACTAGGACACCGATTTAATTTATTAAAACCCGTTTTTTTAATGCATTCTATTTTTTTTGTTTGTCATGTGATTTTCCATTAAAAAAATTTATTTTATAACTCACCGATTTTCCGAAATAATCTCCTAACGTTAACATAACTATGCTGTTTACAGAAATCCCGATTAAAGAGTAAAACATCATCACAATTCGTCCTAACATTGTGGTTGGAGCTAAATTACCATACCCTAAAATAATTATTATTAATTTTTATTCATGATTAAATGAAAATTTACTTGCCTACCGTGGTTACAACTGTAACCGAAAAAAATACAGCGTGATAAAAATCCCATTTCGGAGGATCCTCTTCGTCTGTTACGTTAGAAAGCATCGGTTTTCCGCAGTAATTGGTTAATTTTTGGAAAAGATCAGGTTTGGTATCCTCCATTGTTGAATTGTAGTGTTTATTAATGAGTTCTGTAACGATAAATAAGATTTATTAATAAAATTTTTGTTTGAAATCGAATTAATTAGCGATAACTTTAAACTTTCAAAAAAAAGTTTCAAATTAATACTTAATGACGTGGTTTTTTCAACGTTCAAATGACGTGATGGTGATTTAACCGAACTATTTAGCAGTTTTGTATCAATCTAATAATAAGGATAAACATTACCTAGAAATTTGTGTGGAAAGAATTTTTTTAAAGATTTAGGATTATATTTAAAAAAATCATATTACCTCAAGAAGTAATTGAGATATCAAGTTAAAATAAAAAACATTTTAAAGCAGATTTAATCTAGTTATAACACACCAAAAATGATTTCTTAGAAATTATAAATAATAACGTTACGGTTTTTTAAGTAAAAGTATGTATAGGAATTTAGGTTAGGTTGATCAACATAAAATTTAAATCATCATATCTCAAATGCCGAATGAGATATTGTTATGAAATAAAAAGCATTTTAAAGCAAATTTAATTAATATTTAGTGTGTTGAAAATTATTTCTTTATTCCTATAAATTTGGACGTTATGATTTTTTTAATTCATTTTTTTACTTTATAACGATTAAATATTAAAAAAATCATATCTCAAGAAGTAAATGAGTTATCAAGTTGAAATAAAAAGCGTTTTAAAGCAGATTTAATGTAGTTATAACACGCCAAAAATGATTTCTTCGAAATTATAAATAATGATGTTACGATGTTTTAAATAAATCTGTTATAGCAGTTTAGGTTAGGTTGGTAAACATAAAATTTAAATCATCATATCTCAAATGCCGAATGAGATATTGTTATGAAATAAAAAGCATTTTAAAGCAAATTTAATTAATATTTAGTGTGTTGAAAATTATTTCTTTATTCCTATAAATTTGGACGTTATGATTTTTTTAATTCATTTTTTTACTTTATAACGATTAAATATTAAAAAAATCATATCTCAAGAAGTAAATGAGTTATCAAGTTGAAATAAAAAGCGTTTTAAAGCAGATTTAATGTAGTTATAACACGCCAAAAATGATTTCTTCGAAATTATAAATAATGATGTTACGATGTTTTAAATAAATCTGTTATAGCAGTTTAGGTTAGGTTGGTAAACATAAAATTTAAATCATCATATCTCAAATGCCGAATGAGATATTGTTATGAATTAAAAAGCACTTTAAAGCAAATTTAATTAATATTTGGTATGTTGAAAATTATTTCTTTATTCCTGTAAATTTGGGCGTCATGATTTTTTTAATTCATGTCTTAACTTTATAACGATTAAATATTAAAAAAATCATATCTCAAGAAGTTAATGNGTTTTGTATCAATCTAATAATAAGGATAAACATTACCTAGAAATTTGTGTGGAAAGAATTTTTTTAAAGATTTAGGATTATATTTAAAAAAATCATATTTCAAGAAGTAATTGAGATATCAAGTTAAAATAAAAAATATTTTAAATAAGATTTAATCTAGTTATAACACACCAAAAATGATTTCTTAGAAACTATAAACAATAACGTTACGGTTTTTTAAGTAAAAGTATGTATAGAAATTTAGGTTAGGTTGATCAACATAAAATTTAAATCATCATATCTCAAATGCCGAATGAGATATTGTTATGAAATAAAAAGCATTTTAAAACAAATTTAATTAATATTTAGTGTGTAGAAAATTATTTCTTTATTCCTAGAAATCTGGACGTTATGATTTTTTTAATTCATATCTTAACTTTATAACGATTAAATTAAAAAAAATCATATCTCAAGAAGTAAATGAGATATCAACTTGAAATAGAAAGCATTTTAAAGCAGATTTAATCTAGTTATAACACACTAAAAATGATTTCTTCGAAATTATAAATAATGATGTTACGATTTTTTAAATAAAACTTTGTATAACAATTTAGGTTAGGTTGGTAAACATAAAGTTTAAATCGTCATATCTCAAATGCCGAATGAGATATTGTTATGAAATAAAAAGCATTTTAAAGCAAATTTAATTAATATTTAGTGTGTTGAACATTATTTCTTTATTCCTATAAATCTGGGTGTTATGATTTTTTTAATTCATGTCTTAACTTNTAAAAAGCACTTTAAAGCAAATTTAATTAATATTTGGTATGTTGAAAATTATTTCTTTATTCCTGTAAATTTGGGCGTCATGATTTTTTTAATTCATGTCTTAACTTTATAACGATTAAATATTAAAAAAATCATATCTCAAGAAGCAAATGAGATATCAAGGTGAAACAAAAAGCGTTTTAAAGCAGATTTAATCTAGTTATAACACACCAAAAATGATTTCTTCGAAATTATAAATAATGATGTTACGATTTTTTTAATAAATCTGTTATAACAGTTTAGGTTAGGTTGCTAAACATAAAATTTAAATCATCATATCTCAAATGCCGAATGAGATATTGTTATGAAATAAAAAGCACTTTAAAGCAAATTTAATTAATATTTGGTATGTTGAAAATTATTTCTTTATTCCTGTAAATTTGGGCGTCATGATTTTTTTAATTCATGTCTTAACTTTATAACGATTAAATATTAAAAAAATCATATCTCAAGAAGTTAATGNCATAAAGTTTAAATCGTCATATCTCAAATGCCGAATGAGATATTGTTATGAAATAAAAAGCATTTTAAAGCAAATTTAATTAATATTTAGTGTGTTGAACATTATTTCTTTATTCCTATAAATCTGGGTGTTATGATTTTTTTAATTCATGTCTTAACTTTATAACGATTAAATATTAAAATAATCATATCTCAAGAAGTAAATGAGATATCAAGTTGAAACAATAAGCATTTTAAAGCAGATTTAATCTAGTTATAACACACCAAAAATGATTTCTTCGAAATTATAAATAATGATGTTACGATTTTTTAAATAAATCTGTTGTAGCAGTTTAGGTTAGGTTGATAAACATAAAATTTAAATCATCATATCTCAAAAGCCGAATGAGATAATGTTATGAAATAAAAAGCATTTTAGAGCAAATTCAATTAATATTTTGTGTGACGAAAATTATTTCTTTATTCCTATAAATCTGGACGTTATGATTTTTTTAATTCATGTCTTAGCTTTACAACGATTAAATTTAAAAAAATCATATCTCAAGAAGTAATTGAGATATCAAGTTGAAACAAAAAGCATTTTAAAGCAGATTTATTCCAGTTATAACACACTAAAAATGATTTCTTCTAAATTATTATTATTTTTAATTCATGTCTTAATTTTAAAACGAATAATTTAAAAAAATCATATCTCAAGAAGTAATTCACGTATTCATTGACATTTGGTCATTTAATAATAATATTATTCAATGAAATGCATTAAGATAATCAAGAGTTAATCAAAAACGTATTGTGATTTCTAAATTATCTAAAATGGAATCGTTTTTATGGATTGATTTTGATTGTTATCACGTTAAAAAACTTAATTATTAATACCTTCGATGATTTTTCGTTCCTCTTTCTCGATTTCTCTTTTATGGGCTTCATCGTGGCTTTGGACGTAATAAAAAAATGTGCTACCCAAAAGAATGTAGATTATGAATAAGCAAAAAAGAACGAACCATTGCTTTTTCGACATCATTTTTAATAAAGCTAAAATAATCCTTTTCTTACTCAAACTTAATCAATGTTTAATAAAAATAAACTCACCTGGATTAGATTCAAAAACTCTCACAAACTAATTCTATAAAATCGTCGGATTTCTTTTGTGTTTTTCAGTCAAAGAATAGTCGAGGTGTGTCCCCTTTATTGCAACAAAACTATTTCCGCACATTTTTCGAAACAATCAACGATAAATCGTTACCAAATAACAACGACATTTTAAATTCTTTTTAAAATAATTTAAGAAAAAATAAATTATTTCCCGCACTAAATAAGTGTTCCGAGCGGATTAAAAAGTGGTGATACACTCGCTCTGGCTCACTAAAACCATCTCATTTAAAACATTTATGTGTAAAGTGGTAGGTAATAAGTTGTTTAGCACTTTCCCGTTTTTTTCAACAAAAATATTCGAAAACACAATAAAATAATAACTATTATATTGAGAAAACTCGGCGTTGGAAGTACTTATAGACTAGATTTGTTTGCTATCACCATTAAGAATGTGTTTTTCAATTATAAACAAATAATTTTTGCAAAATAAAAATATGTAGTCTATAGATTAGACACAAGTAGGACTCGCGAGGCTATTGGTCTTATCAAAGAGAGCAAAACGAGTTGTTTTATAGATCACGTGCCTTAGATTGTCTTTCAATATTAACCATTTTATTCCTTATTTCTTTCGATTTAATTTTATTAAATTATATCGTTTTTTATTCATTAAAACTAATAACTTTGTTATGAAACCAGCATATTATAAAATTGAATATTAAAATCTAGTTTATCGAGATAACACTAAATTCTTTGCATTTAGAATTAAATGGAATTCCATAATCCCATCAGTATTAACTTAAATTTCTTGGACTATGGACTTCCTAATTAAAATCAAACCTAACTATACGATACAACGTTAATTTTGCTATTTCTTTTGCAACTTTATAAAATCTCTTCTTTTATGACCCCATAAAAACTAATTGTATACTCATTTAGATCATTTTGATCTTAAAAACACGCCTTTTTTAACATTACAAGATTTTATCAGTTTTTTTTTATTTCAACCTTACAAGTTTTATTTGTGACAACAATAAACATGTTTCTCTTTCAACTAAATTAATTTTACGAAAAAATAGCGGATGTGGACTACTTCAACTTTGGAAATTTTAAGTGGAAAAAGATCGTGTTTGTAAATAAAAATTTTTAAATAAATATATCGTTTAAACGATAAAACCACTTATATGAATTCAACAAACATTTAGGTGTCGAAACGTCATCGTCTATATGCCAATTATACGGTATTGGGCTGGCGAAGACCTTGTTTAAATACGCAATAAACTTGTTGAATTTTGGAATTTTCGTACAACGTGTATTAAATTTGCTAATTTGTACGCAAAATGATTTATAGTGTGCGGTATTTATTTATGATATTAAATCTACGTCCTTTTCGGGTCACTTATTAGTTTACGACCTTTTTAATCATTTACAATTTTTATTTTCAATAAATATTAACACATTTCTTTAAATTTAAATTTATTTCGTTTTAATCACCAAGAGATGGCGCTAAATTAAACGTCACTTCAAACAATTAGGATAATTTCAATAAAAAATTTATTAATTTTATTATCTAAATTATTACAAAAAACATACAAAATAAACAATTTTATTTTCAATAAATATTAATTAGTTTTTCTTTTTTACTTTTACGATACTTTTGTTAATCATTAAAAGATGTCGCTGAATTCAATCTTAATTAAAAAAAAATTATTTAAATGGTAATTATTATTAATTTTATAATTCTTTTTAAATTAATAGTTAAGCTTCTTAAAAGATAAAATAATAAATAAAAACAATTTGTTTAAATAAGAATGTTTATTTTGCAAAGTAGAAAAAAGTTTATAATCGCCAACTTCATTCATATACATAAGTTAAGTTTAGTATGAACCTAACCTGTAAGTCATCAAATTGTTATTTTTGTAATATTTTAATTTTATTTATAGTTTAATAATTTAATTTTTTATCCCCATTTCTAGATACCTCAGCTTGACCTAACTATATCCCTGATTATGATTTTTCAAACTCCAATATCGTTTGATACAGTTTAAGATAAAGGTTTGGATAATTTATGAGACATTTGAAGAGGATTACAATTGTTAAGCTTTTTGGAAGACTAATTCACTCAAATTAACATCTTCACCTAAGTTCCAAGGTAAATTAATTTTATTTTTATATTTGACTATATTTAACTCAACAATAACATAAACGAATTTTTAGTATCAACTTAACATATTTAATTCCAATACAATTTCTTGGGTGAGCATTGAGTAGATATACTGCACAAATAGCAATGTTTATAATAATTTTTACAAATCTTTTGATACAGTTTGAGTTCCGCTATTAAATAATAGATGGCGCTACATAAAAATTCCTAATATAATTGTGTAAAAGAAACTACCGTATTTTCTCGAATCTTATCCGCACTCGAATCTAATCCGCACCCCGATTTTAAAAATGCAATGATGGTAAAAAAAGTTGGTTTTCCAATGTAATCCACATCCGATTGTAATCCGCATTTGATTTTAGAGCATACAAAATTTGTAAAAAGGGTGCGGATTAGATTCGAGAAAATACGGTATATAATCTCTGCCATCAATATTTGAAATTTTCGATCAATTTCCCAAGTAACAATAAGAATCCCACATCCAATAACATCATGTTGAGGTGTATAGTCAAAATAGCCTAAAAATTAGATTAATGGGAAATTAAATAAACTAAATTCTTCTTTATTTACTATCCTTTAAATTCGCTGCAAGAAAATGCAGTTATTTTTATCCATGATAGATTTATTTCCATCACTATAGCTTATTTTAGTTGCAACCTAATTATTATTCACCCAACTTAAATTTTCTTAAGCATAAAGCTGTTTTCTTTCAACCCATTGCTTAATTTCTTTTTCTTTGTCTTTTTAAGGCCTTTACCTTGTACTCTATAATCTAAAGACGTGACTGGGATTATGAATTCCAGCTTTCATACCATCTTCTGGGCATCCAGGAAGTCTGTTTGATCTTGGGATACCATCCTTTGCAATTTTCGGCATTCTATTGTCACCTAACCGCTCAACATGGTCCCTCCATCTGGTTCGGGATCATCAAACTATATCTTGGACCCTCTGATGTCTGCTTTCAAGTTGTCGTTTGTCTAGAAATGATTTTACAACCTCTAATGCTAGATTGATGTGATTTTCCACAGTTGCAATGTTAGCAGAAGTACAATATAAGATTAAATCATAGACATAGCTTATCGTAATTACATCAAGTTCAATCAGTTCTTGACTAAGGGAGAACAGATATATATTGAATAAAATTGGACTCAAGGAACTTGACTTGTAGCTTATTCTGTGGCCAACATTTTTAAGCTTAAGTATCTTCTCGAAATAGCGTTAGTGAACAATCGCTGAAAAAGCTTTAGGAGTATTTCTACCCTGCATAATCTGGATCAAAGTAGGGATATGAACATTATCATATGCTGCACGTGTATCAATAAAAACAGCCAGTGGCGAAGTTCTTTCTAGGAAGGCTTTTCGTATATCCAATACCAAAGTTGTCACAGCTTGATGAACTCCTTTACCTTTAAAGCTGAGTGTTTGTTGGGTTGCATAATAACATGAACATTTAATTCATAAAAACAAAAAATATTTTTGTTCAAAAACACTCTTTATTTATAGATATATTTACATTTTTTTTCAGTCCCAATTAGTCCTTATTAAATAGTAGCTAAAATAGAATAGTAACTACATAATCATGGTAATTCATACTTCCAGAAATAGGAAAAGTTTTTTATTTAATTTATGCGTTATTATTAAAGGTATTGTTAATTATTAAATTGATAAAATAGAAAATAAAAATCGGAGTATCACAAACAATACTACATAGACTACTATAAATATACATCGCTCGGAAAAATGCGTCTACAAAGAACAAAATAAAGAACGTTTTTGGTTTTAATGATAAACACACATTTAAAAGCACGATCACGATCAAAAACACAGTTTTTATTATTTTTATTTCGGGGTTTCGGTCACTAAAAATTCACATCACTCGCGACTTTTGTATCTACGTGTCTTTCTTTCGTTTCTTTCCGAGGAATGTCTTTACCATCGCGAGCACAATACTGAATACGCTATCACGGAACTGTCTGTCTTGGAAATTAGGTCAGATCTATCACCTCTATAAACCTGAAAAAGAAATAAACAAAAACGTTAATCACATAATTTAGATTTTTTCGAAAGAGACGTAAAAAACGCCTTTTACATAAATATTAACATGTAAATAAATCCAATTTATTTAGATTTGCAAATTCGTTTAATTGGTATGTATTTAGAATTCTAGGTCAATGCGACATTTGTTATTCTCGTTATTAACGTTTTGAGGTTTTTCGTGCACGGCCTGTTATATTATTTATTTTTTCATTCATTTTTAGTTTTATTGTAGCTGTTCACGGTTTAGAAACTCGCAAATTGCACTTCGTTTCAAATGATGATAATAAGTGTGGCGCAGCAGTAGAGAAAGTGAAGTAAATTTACAGATGATGATAATAGCAATAACAACCCAGATGGTTTATTCGAGGTCATTTTAAGTAACATTCTTTTTAAAAAAATAAATCAAAAACTTACCCATTTACACGCTTGAATTTTCTGAAGAACTATTACTAGTTCTTCTTAATGCCGGTGGAGGTGGTGCAGGTTTAAACCGGAGTGGTGATGGTGTGTAAAATTCATCCGGATCGGCATCATCGCCTGAAGATGGTGTAGGTGATGGCGATGGGGGCGAAAGAACACGATCTTCATGATCTTGAAGCATTTGTCGAAAATCTTGAATCGATTCGTTCAACGACCACAATTGAGATAGTAAAGATAAATCCAATTGTCTCAAACTATACTGTAAAGATAAAACATAATGATTAAAGATAATGTTAAAATGAAAGTAAAAATAATTATTTCAAATTGGCATATCGCGTTCTCGCACTTTCTACTGTAAATATGCGTCCACTGTAAATGATGTCATTATTGTCGTTTTCTCTTGAACGTTTTTTTTTTATTATTAATTTTGTTGTAAAGAAAAATAGGCAAATTATTCTTTTTAAGCCACCTTCGATTTGATTACGACCACATAAAAGAATGCAGCTTGACTTCATGTTTAATTTATTATTACGGTTAACAATCTTGCGTTCTTACGCAAGCGGTCGACATTGCGAATGCACCGGGAGATTGCAAACTGGAGGCTGAGTGAAAGTTGGCGACGATGTCGAAGGAAAGAAAAAAGATCAAAAGAAATGACCTTAAAAGGTCACATAACCTCGAGCGATTTCTTAGAAAAGGATCCGATGGAGACAGATAAGAAAGTGTATCTAATTGAATTTGCATCGGTTCCCAACCAAATGGAAACGAAGAAAGTCTACTAACTTTATTCCTGCTTGAATAACTACAAGGACTTAAGTAGTAAAAATTTATTGAGTGGGCGAGAAAAAGAAAACAAGTTTTACACCTGTATTTATCGTACAAAATAAAAACGCGAATACAAAGCATGCGGAAACAAGGTTTATTGTTATGTTTTGTATACAACTCAAAGGCTTTGTCCTTTAGGAAATTGAATTCTAGTCCCACACAGGAGTTTATAAAGCTGACTGGTGACTGGTAGACGTACATTTAGTACCATTGTTTTCGCCTGGAGAAATGTCTAAACTGTCTGGTATTGTGAAGGATTGCGTTGAAAACGAGATGGAAATTAATTTTTTTTTTCGATTAAGAAATCAATTTCGTAAAAATTATTAAAAACTTAATTCTATTATTAATTCAGTTAAACATAAACAAATAATTAATATGAAATTAAAGGAACAAAGTAGGTAAAATATCATTTTTTATTGTAACACAAAATATTCTTGTCTTTGAATAATCTTTATCACTGTTAAAGGCTGTCACAAAGCATGTCACACTCGAAATGGCTATAAGAAATTTTCAAACCTACATCACTGCGTAATAAGAATACCGTACACGGCTGAGTAGGAGCAATGCCATACTCAGTGCAGTGGACATTGGAAGTGAATTATGGCACACGGGGTAGTGCCAGCCATCTATGGCGATGATCAAGAAGAAAGCTGAATGCCGTTGGACTCGTTAGGCGATGAAAAAGAAACCGATCGTGTCGGCCAAGAATAGGAAGGCACGCGTGGAGTGGGCGAAGACTCATCTCAACTAGACCCGACAATAGTGGCAGCAAATCATCTACAGCGACGATAGCAAATTCCTGATGTTTGGAATTGATGGCATATCGTGTACAAGTGCATTCTAGAGAATGATATGCTTCCCTGGGAACGCAAAAATATGGGTTAGGGTTGGGTGTTCCAACGAGCTAACGACCCGAAACATCGTTCCAGGGACGTCACCAACTGGTTCACGCAGTATATAGAGTCCTAGCTAGTCGTTATAGCTTTCGGTCCACATCCGACGGTGAAAAGTTCCTGCAGCTGGAGACGGAGATATAAGACTATCATCGACAACAAGCTAGAGAACCATCCAAAGAGACTACCAAAGAAGAAAAATTACCAACCCAGCAAGTTTCATAGGACAAGATTGAGGCAGTTTCTAAAGATGAGGTAAAGAAAGTTCCATAACAAGAAAAAATTCTAAGGAAGATAAACTTGAGAAGACATCCCAAGAGGTTTTCAAAGAAGAGAAATTAGGAACCCAGCAAGTTTCAGAAAAGAAGGTTGGAGCAGTTTCTAAAGATGAAGTGAGGAATGTTTCAGAAGAAGCAAAGACGGAGGAAGTTAAACCTAAAGAAGACAAATTTGAAAAACCATCTCAAGAGCTTGTCAAAGAAGAAGAAAAATTACTAAATTAAATTAAATTTTATTTATTGTTAGAAGACAAGAAAATTAGAGCACAAGCAAAGGCGGATGAAGCTAAACCAAAAGAAGGCAAAGTTGGAGAATCATCCAAAAAGTCAAGTAGTGTTGATTTAAAAGAAGTAAGACCTGAAGAAAGTAAAATGAAAATGTTTCTTTCCAGAGTGTCCAATTCAAAGAGATATTCCTTGTGATTATTCATCTGTCTCATCGTATCATTCCTCGGGAAGAATAATTTACTCGACTATCATTCTAGAAGTACCAAAGAACGGTTTTCTATCAAACAACAATTTTTGTCAATATGAAAACAAAAAGGCAGAGTTTCCCCAAATAACACCATGTGACATTTCCCGAATTTATTTGCCAACGTCGCAGGCTCCATCATTTGCAGAACTAAGTATTTACTCAAACTGGTCAAACTGAATATTCTACACATTTATCACCTAGTAACTCCGTGTGGTGACGTAAGGTTGAAAAATAAAGCTTTCAACTGATTCTCCAGGTTGAAGGCTTGGCTTGAGGCTGACAAAGAAGGCTCTTTGGAAACCGGATATCAGGCCTCAGAACTGAATGGATAAAACTGGAGACGAACATGACTACAGAATATGGACTACTCTTTTGGAACGTAGAATTAACAAGACTAAGTCCCTATTGGAACAGTTAGAAAAGTATAAGCTTAAAATTGATGCATTGCAAGAAACCAGATGGCTTTGGGAAGGGAATTTTGGGTGAATGCTGTGGAGAAGGACACGAGGGGTTTTCTAGGTGTGAGATGTTCAATCCTGAAACTACCGAAACCTGTAACGCCACAGACAAATGTGTAAAATGAGACTTATGTGAGGACCACACCGCCAACTGCTGAAAACACGAACAACTACTATTAAAGTTTCTCTTGACGTCCTTTTCAAGATTCTCTCAGCAATTACAACTTGTCATCATGGGGTCAAAGAGACACTATTAGGACTGGTTAGGGTGGACTGAAAGTATACGAAATTATGTTAACCGTTGGTGGGTCGAGGACAAAGCTGATATTTTTGGACTTGACTTGAGATGTCATTATAACACCACCACCTGTTGAGTTCTCGGTTGGGCTGTAGTGCTGGGTAAAAACTATGAGAAGTTTGATGATGAACACTACAGATTTCTAGCAAGGGTGTCTACTGTAAAAAAGAACGTCATTGATTGCAATGATTACCCAATAGGAAGAGTCACAAAAATGTAGGTATCTATCTGATGAGTAGAGATAGTGTGTTTTTCTCAAAAGTTATTAGTCATAATTACATCACGACTTAAGATAACACGAATATAAAATATCCTCAACCTGAGTTAGATGAATGTGGCAAAATAGCTTTAAATCAACGTTTTAATTTTCCTTTGCATAATTCAAAACCTTTTTGTCGCCTTGATAGTTTAGAAAAACAATTACGTAAGAATTAATTTATGATTTATGTTTAAAAAAAATTACAAACACTATTTTAACGGATATGTTTAGTTACATTAAAATAACTAAAGTATTCAAAACGGACGTGATAAGACTGTAATTTTATTTATTCTCGTGTATGATTCACCAGTTGAGTTTCTCACAGGCCCACAATATGTATAATGGTAACTTTTTATTATGCGCCAAGTCCACGGAGAACATAAATGAAGTAATAAATTTTAATGAAAACATCTTGGAAACTAGCTCGCAACCTTTCACGAATATTAAAGTAGCAATTAACTTTCTGCACTGAAGGGTGTCTATAGACAAAAAATATCGTTAATTTTTTAAAATTTGATTACGAGTTTAATAGATAAATATGCAACCAATTACTTTTATCTTATCGAAATGTTAATAATAAATAAATTCGATAAACTCAAACGTGTTGCATCGCAGTATTAACGAAAATATTTGTACATACTTCAAGGAATTTCTGTTATCTTTTCTTCGTTGTAATTTATAATAGTATAAATCTAAATGTAATAACATTGATGCTGGTTTAATCGAAGTATTATGTAAAATCCCGAATGAATCATAACAAGATAACGCATCTTTCAACTCATTTATCTATAAGCGCAATGTTTGACGTGGAATTTCCATAAAGGTTAAAGAGAAGAAAAGTTTTCGGTTACAACCGCTACAGAAAAACTGTCACTTCCTGGCTGTTGGCACACCTAACAGGACTCTTAATTAATCAGCCAGCGGAGAGAACTGTGAGAAAATGGACTCACTGAGGCAGAGCGCGACTTGATACAGTTACTCAGAAAAACGGGAGACTACAAAAAGGTTGTCTCCACATCCTCCCGTTGGAGCAAGTAAGAAAGATAAAGTAATTGATTCAATTTCCCGGCTATTAACTTAGAATGCAACCTCGTTTCAATAAAATTTTTAAATTTAGGATCCTTCCAAAGTGTTAACTATCCTTAACGAAGAATAGGTCAGTTCTGAGAGAAGCCTTCAAATTGAGTTTCGTACGTTAATAGAAGACCATCGTGGGCTCTCGTAACTGTACAAAAGGTGGGAGTCGTAGAGGTTACGAGGCCACCATCAAGAACCACTCAACAAAGAACGAAACTGTTACCTGAACTAGAAGCATGAAAAATATAAACACAAAAAAGGAATCGTTTTTAAGAAATTATTGAATACGTCCAATAAATAACACAGGATGTGGTTCGTAAATTTTTAAATTAACATACACGCGGAACTCCAACCGTGTTTAAATTAAATTAAATCACTCACACGAATTGAGATGAGAGAACATTCAAGCGTAAAATACCGCATGTTGTCCCCTACAATCAAGAATTTCCTTTCCACCTGAGAATGTTGACAGTAGTCACGCATATTCCGGCTTAACATTTGATTAATCAACGTTTAAGTACCGCTAATTTAAGAACCATTATGGCTCATTAAATAGCAAATACATTGCCGCGTAGGATTTATATTTATCTTTAAATCTATTCTAAACCGTACTTTCTTTATTTTTATTTATTTCATTTAGTTTAGATCTTCCGCGTGTTTAAACTGTTTATAGTTCGCGTGTCAATTATAACAATG